TGACGCTCGAATTGTCCACAGAAATGGACAATTTTGGGGAGAGGAGATACGATTATTCGAGTCTTGTGGCTCGTTTTTATAATTGTTGACAATCGGTAACCGCAAAACCGAGTCGCATTGGTCGAATAATCGTGCACAATCCGAGCGTCGATTAGGGCGAATTTACTGTATCTCGATGGCAAATCGTAATTTGTAGTCGTGTTTTAATTCAAAATAAATAATAAAATCCAAGAAGATCCTGAACCGATTATTTCAGAAACATTAAATTGTAAGTAAGGCGACCAGATCGTGAATTGCACAGAGCAGTTAATGCTGATGTACAGCCCACATCTATAAGCCATACCTGTCTTATATACCAACTTCGGAGTTCCGTCGTGTTTTGCACGAAAAGGATGACAAAAGAGCTTGAACATGCGTAAATGTACGGCTGAGGGACTAATATTAAAATGGAAAACAATGGGAAAAATGCAGGCTTTGCAAAACGGAAAAGGACGTAGTCCGAGGATGAATTTCAAAAGACGTGACCTCTTTAACCTCTTAGGTACGACGCGCTTGGCCGCGGATGGCACAAAAACCGTTCATGACGATTTCCACTACGACATTGCGTGGGGATAGAGTTCAAAATGAATAAATTACGATTTCTTTATACATTTTCATGTGATGACATCGAAGTCCTTCATTAAATAATTAATTAATTAATTATTATTATATGCGAAGAATACCGTCCAAAATCATGATATCCATGAATATCATGACTATATCATGATATAATTATATTAATTATATAATATATATAATATATATAATTATATAATTTATTATTTAATATTATATAATTTGTACCGTTCAAATTGATAGTATCCACGGAAACCACTATAATGGCGCACCGTCAAGAAGTTCTCTCGAGTCAGAGAACAGCGTAATCTGGGCGAGAGTTGAGTTTAACAAAGTACCAGGGGCGGAATCAAAGAGCAGTTGTAGAAGCTAGAGAACCTTTCGATTCGAATGAACAATGAAATCGTACGGATGATGAATGAAAGATCAACAGAAGACTACTAAAAATGCATTACAATGACATTTGTACAACGTAACCAAGGGTTGTTATGTGATATATTGTTGTCATTTCTGTCGTCAAGTTACCTTGATCTATAATCAATGATATGGCTGCACTGTGCTTCGACTGTTTACTGTATACACGTGACAGTTCATGCATTCTAGATCTGAAGTTATGATCTCGTTCTGGAAACACCGGTATTGCAAACAGTTCGTATTCTCTCTTGTTCGATGTTCTGTAGAGCAGGCCCGGGGAACTGGTGACCCGCGGGCTATAGTCTCTACTCCCCTCATGCAGGCTTCCCCCACTACACCTACGTTTGTTACCTTACCCCACGCATGCGATCGTCAACGTGACGACGAAAAAAGTAGTACATATAGCGGAAAATAGACTGCTGAGTAGAGGGGGAAGGATAAAAGAAGGGCAACATGTTTCACAGGCCTGCTGTAAAGTACATTGTGTATATTAATAATGTGATCAACAGTTTCGAGTAACAATATATGTATATATGTACATATATACGGTGTCTGGTGTCTGCCGTATACCAGCGGCAATATACAAAGTCATCCGTGACGGATGACCTGCCCTCCCCCCCTCCCGACCGCTGACATCGGCTGTTTAGGATACCGCTGCGATTGATGGAACATCGAGCCCCAAAACGCTATTTAATCAAACAACGTTAGTAGTGGTATTCAGCCAACAGAGTGTCGTGAGAGTATGCATGTACCATTAAAACAGTTACAAATTAATAAAGTTTTTCTTGTTACATTAATACAATTCAACTATTATTTAAATTTATTCAAATTTCCATTATAGGCTCCGATAAGAAATTAGAAAAAACATCATTTCTTTACTTCTTTGATCATGCCAACAAATTGAAAATAACTTTGTTCGCTTGGCCTAATTATAAAAAAGTTATTCCGTTTTAAAAGGTGTGCGAATTTTTTCTTTACCCACTGCTATTTACAAATAATAACAATGGGTTGCAATAACTTCCAATTTCGTTACACATTTCACCCATGGCCGGGAATAGCGTTTTGAAATTGGCGGGAATGGCAAGAATGAAATTTTCTCTGTATCTATTCACCTATAATACTATGTTCTACCGTTTTCTGTGAAACGAGGATCAGAACATAAGAAATAATGTTAAATATGAAAATTTTGTTGCCATTCCATCATCGGGAATTTCTACGATTTCACGAGTGGTTAATTGAAATGCATGTTGTTCTCTAGTGCGGATGAATATTTCATGAATCTGATGAATGTAAAAGTCTTCGTGTCGTCGCGTCGTTGATCATTCTTTGAGTTGATTAAGTTGTTCTAAAGTTGTTATAAGTTGTTCCAAAGCAGTCGCAAGTCATTGTAAGATGTTCCAAAGCAGTCGAAAGTCGTTATAAGTTCCAAAACAGTCGTAAATCGTTCTAAGTACTAGTTTTGAGATAGTCCATATAGTTTTTGTTTTAGTTTTATTTGAACTACTTCTATTTTTATATTTTATTTATATTATTATATATATTTTTTTATTATTTATTTTTATATTATTAATAATATATAGGGTTTTAATAAAAAGAGGCTGCGTTCGCAATACGAATTAATAATGGCTAGTATCAATACGAATGGCTTCGTTTATATCAACACACTGGAAAATGGAGGGCGAGGGAATTTGAATGTAGAGAAAGCATCGTTTGGAAATTATGAAAAGAACCCGAATTGATAGAACCACGGGATAAAGATTAATTTACACGTTCATATATTATTGAACCGTTGGGTTTTTTCGGCGTTGGCCACAGCTATAATAGCTATAACTGCGGATTTATTACTCCGAGTGCAGTGAATTCATAAAACGCTGCTCGGATGCACTGGCCACAGCATCAGCCGTTTGCAAGTTAATGCGCGTGACAGGCGATAATATTCGATTAACTCGTACACGTCGGTGAAATCGCGTAACCGAAACTAATTGCCCGCATCGAACTTTATTGAAACCATTTCTGAATAACTCCGCGTAGCTGGGTGTACGAATAGCTAAATTCCTTGACATACAAATAAGACGGGATTCGATGCGTTCGAAAAATATTATTTAATTTCGCTCAACCGAACAGAGTTCTGTGCAAACCGAGAAAGGGAATGTTTTATTTTGAAATTTGGATTACCGATTTGTGAACGCAACTTTGTTATTGGAACTGTCGAGAAGGAGGCAGGGCGGGGCATCTTGAACATTGTAAATAAACCAGAATCGGCGCACGAGTGAAGCAACTGAGTAATCTAATAATACACTGCAAGGCGTCCGCTGAAAACAGCTCTTGACGAGTTAGACTCGTCAAAGTCTACGGTGGCACATGAAATGAATGACAATCCCAATTCGTCATTGTATATCAAGGGGCTAATAACGATCATAATTAAATTGCGAATTTCTGTGTAAATTCATAATTGTATCTGTTGCACGGGGCCGGGCCATCCAGGCTTGTAGCACTCTTGTGTCGCTGGGATAAGAGTTGCGTCGGTCCACGAATCAGGGTTATTACTCTGACATGCGTCGAACGCGGAGAAGAAATTCTCTCACTCTTACCCCTGCGACACAAAAGTGCTGAAAAGCAGTGCGACCATTTGCCTGCAATATAGGAGCATCCCTCGCGTCCGCACTTACCCGCGCTTTCTCACCTCTTCGGTATTCATCTTTCAGTAGGAGTGGGAGGATTGTGCGGGTAAATGATCACACTACCGCAAAGTGCTGCAAACCTGGAAGGTCTACATGGGGCAGAAGTCATTTAGGGATTCCTTTCAACTGTTATTAACCCTTATCGTAATTCTAGCATATCACTCGGATGTCCCCTCTCGTGGGACATTAAAGTTGATTAGTGATTACGGGGAAATTGAGTTATTTCAGCGCAACTTTCTGAGGCATGCATGTTTCCCTGAAGTTTTCTCTTGAAATGGCACAAGAAATCCAATCAAAATATAGTAAAATTACTAAGATATATACAAGAAATGTCAGCGGGTTTCGACGAGAACGTGAGATGCGTGCTCACGACGGTCCAAGCACTTCAAAGGCGCCATTTGAAAAGAGCGATGAGGCAAGTTTGTAGAAGGAAGGTCGGTATGCGAACATAGCGCGCACTGTATAGTGAGATTTATAATCATAAAATCTGGAGGAAAAGATTTTCAAAGCTGAACTCAGTCTGGTTTGAAGCGTCGAGCGGTATAGATAGATCTAACGAGTGAGAAAATCGGAAAAGTGATAATTAAAAAAATAAATTGTTTGGTAAAAGTTTTTTTTTGGTAAATATCATCTTGCGAGTTGGTAATAATTAGAAATGTTCAACCTATGTATTTATTCATATTTTTTTATTAGAACAATGGCAAAACGTTCAAACACGAACGAGTCTCATGACACAAGTAATAGCGAGGATGAGCTCCAGATAGACGTTTATACAGATATGTTAGAAAGACTAACTCTGTAGAAGGTTTTCTTCTACAGTTAGTCTATCGTTTTGATAGCAGTGACAGTGATATCGTCCAAGCAACAAGGCGACGAGAGAAAGAGTTCGCATAGATAGCGATTACAACGACAAAACAAAATTATAAAACAAACAATAACAAAATTATAAAAAATAAAATATTGACTTTTTTGCAAATTTCTCGATTTCAGCCAAATTCATATAAGTCCAATATCATTATAATACGTTGGTTAGTTCCAAAACCATACTAAATAATACGAGGGTCTGTAAATGCCCGTTTCTGACGAAAAGTGGCGCTGAGTAGCTGGTAGCCAACGTCCAGAATGGTTCGGAGTGCTAAGGGTTAATCTTTGGATATCGATATATCCAATATCGTTAAAATATCAAGGGATAAAGATTACGAGAATAAACGAAAGAATAGGAAAGACTCACCGGAATCTGGTTGAGATTAATATCCGAACGCTCTCTGCTGGGACAATCCGTGCAGGCCGACGGCGTCTCGTTGAATCGTTTGCTGAACTTGAGCAGGTTCCTCATGATCATGGTGTTCATCACGATGATGAGCACGAGGGGTGCGATCAGGCTGACAATGCTGTCGATGATGTTGATGATCTTCATGGTCTCCATGTACTCGGCTTTGAGGTCGCAGTACTCCTCGCCGTCGCGGTTCAGCACCACGCCGGCGGTCACGAACGAATACGAATGGCTGGCCAGCGCTAGGATCACCAGAACGAGGACAATGGCTTTAGCCCTGGCGATCGTGCAGATATGTGGCCGGTGCAACGGATACTGCACCGCGATGAATCTTTCGACGGTGAACGCAACGATCAGCCAAACACTGAGAGAGCTGCAGACCGCGCTGACGTAAACCAGCGTCTCGCACCAGCCATCTTTGTTGAACACTTTCCAGCCGAGGGTATTGTTCAGCCAAACCAGCAGCAGCGTCACCAAAAATCCAAAGTCGGCGGTGGCCAATGCTGCCAGATAATAGCTCGAACTGCGGATCCTCAGGTAGGTGTTCAGGAACACGATACAGGACAACAGATTGCCCACCAGACCCAGCAAGATGATCGACGGAATGTAGTACTGGTGGAAGAAGTCCAGCAAGAAGTACAGCGAGTGGCAAGCCTCGATCGGCTTCTCATCGAATTCCAGAGGTTCGTAACTCCGGTTCTTGAACCAGTGGGTTAGATTTGTAACCGCCGTTGGCGACATCGAGCGTCGCACGCGTAACAGGTCCAAAGAGCTTTCCTCTTGACACCTAGTGGTCAAGGTTAACATTGAAGTGATTAACAACATGGCTGATCCAATGCGCGAAGTTTTAGCTTGGCTGGTTACTTTTTTCGAATCTCTGCCAAATACCGTTGTATTTTCACGTGGATTTTTGATTCACTGGGATGTCTAGCTGGCCCTAGATCATGGTGGCGTCTTCAAAAAAGCTGTTGCTGTTGATTCTCTTCATTGCTTCTGGTTGCGATGTTGGACTTGGATGGACGCTGAGGCTCTAGGACGTTGTTGTTGTTGCTGGCGAGTCCATGGTGATGTATTTTTTTATATTTCTTTCAGCGATTTTGCTCGTTTTCGACTCGAGAAGCTTCTGATTAGGAGGTATCGAGTATATCGAAGCCGATAGATAAAATTTTTTGATAAACTGCAGGTCCTTCTTGATGTTAGTAGAGTATATTAGAATGTCCCTTAATGATTGAAAATGCTAAAATCGGTGGATAATTTCTGCAGTTGAATAAACACACTCTTTTAACTAATTTAAATCCCCCTCTATTTCATTTCATGATCCATCATTCTGCAGATTCTCTTCTTTGATTTCAGGAAGAATCCTAGAATGTTTATTCTTCTCAGACTTATGGATTTCCTTCTTTTTGAATCTTCTAAGTATCGAAGATTTTCTTTTCAGTTGACAGATAGCAGGGATCATAGATTGACTACGTAGGTTCTAGAATATTCTAGATTCATCAGAGGAAAAATCGTAGAGGTTGTTCAGGTTCAGTGTAATCCTAGAAATCAGTAAATACTCGTCTCACATTTCAGAACCTTCTCCAGTAATTAGCAGTACCAAATTCAATTATAGAAGATTTCAGTTCTTGTGAAAGAATCTTGTTAGATTTTACGTTCACTAAAAAGATTTTATATAGATCAACGTGATTTCTTTCTAAATTCAGATGCATTCACTAATCGGGAAAAGTACCATTCAATGTTTTCAGATAATCCGGTGAAAAACTTTTCATCGATGAATCCAATCAGTGGATCCCTGGACCTGTTCCAACGATGCTACAGCTCGAGCTCTATTCTCCAGATTGCTTCAACTCTATTTCCGACACAAAATTTCTCTATCTCTCTCCTCCTTTTATTCTGCTTGCTACAACGTTCTCGGCGCTTGAAACAAAACTTGTGCGATCTTACATTCGCGATCTTCCTCTGTTTTCCGCTTGTCACTGTCACTATCGTTTCCGATACTAAAATACTTTGAACCCGCACAGTTTTCAGAGCGATCCTGATCTAAAATCTTGCCACCGTTCCTCGCGTTGTTACGTCTTTTAGAAGCTGTTGCCGACGTTTCTTAATAATATTATTATCTTATGATTGTTCTTTAAGACACTGTACCGCATAGTGTAATATAAGTAGTATAATAGCGTTATTGTTCTTTAAGCATTTAAATTCTGTATTTAGAATCTAATCTTCAATCTTTCAATGTCCCGTGTGGTTATGCTTACCGTCTGTTATTCGTGACATGATATGCACTCTCCGTTACATTGTTCTTTCGTTCACTAAATTTGTAATTCTTCACTATCACGAGGGATTGGATTAATGTTCCGTATATACATTATACTGCTATATTGTTCTTTGATCTAATGTCACTGGTTCGATGAACAATTTCAAGATCGTGCGAACGCTTTCACAAAGCGGATTCAACGATTCCGTCAACCTGGAAATTTCGAAAATTTTTTATAACCATTTTAAGTATTCACAGAGATTCGGATTTACAGGATGATTAAGACTTCGGTTACTCCTCGTGCAAAGTCGAAACACGCTTACAGTTACTAAAAAAATTATGCATACACCTTTTAAAACTGGACTTAATAATTATTTAATTTTAATAATTATTGATAATAATTTTCTTTTAAACTGGACAGACACATCTACGAGAGGCCTTTTTTAAATTTCCATTATAGGTTCAGATAAAAAAAGTTAAAAAACGAGAGTTTTTCATTTATTTTTGTCATCCCAACTAGTAGCACCAGCATCTAAAAAAATTCAAGTCACTTAGTCCAGTTTTAAAAAAGTAATTGCGTTTTAAAATATGTACACTCAATTTTGCAAGTAACTGTACATGCCAGGCTCGGTACGTGCTCCAAGGCCGAGATATTCTTTCATTTGGTTTATATTAGAGTGTTCACACTATGCGCGCCGCTCTCGTGCCGTGCTATGCCGTCCGGCCAATACTGTTGACCTAGCATGCTGGAGCACGACCGAGCCTGGTATATGTGTTTTGCCCCCTATACAGATCGACACCGATCCAAGCATGATATCTTCTGTACATAAACTTCTTCATCTGCATATAAACACGAGATTTCTTCGTCGCGGAGGGTCACACATTTATAGCTTCAAGTACGTAAGCATAATAGCATGGATGCATTGATGCCAATCCGACTCTCTTTCCACCCAGTGTTACCGTTTACAAATCTCTTAAAACCTCTTTACTTTTCCCATTGTTCCTGTCGAGATCCTGCTTCCCATCTCACATCTCATTTGATCAGTATAGTTTCCTTAGTATAGAACAGAGCATAGAAAAATAGCTCGAAATGTAACTTCACGCTTTCGAGGAGAGATTTAACTGCAATAGCAATTGCACTAGACGAGGAGTACAAAAAATAGAAGAGAAAGGAATTGGAGCGTCCATTCAATTTGTATCGAAGAAACTGCTCTTATGTAAACAATTAACCCTTTGCGGACGAAGCCGCTCGACGGGTGAGCGTCGCTGCGGACGACAGCTATTGGATATAAAATAAAAATGTTATAAGATATAATGTTATAAATATGTGGAAAACTTTGCTGGTTTCTCTGGTAGTGACACTGAAAGACTGACTCGACAAACTGAAATTCGTTCTGAACCTACGGTTAAATTAATAAATTTATATTAACAATTAATCAATGAATAAAAAGAACGGTAAAAAGACTTGGGCGGCTATTTTCCGACACTCGTCCGCAACGGTAAAAAGACTGGGGCGGCTATTTGGCGACACTCGTCGACAAAGCGTTAATCGACCGCAGTTCAATATTTTTATGAATACTTTCGAAGAACAAAAGATTCATTCAACGCTTGATTGGAAAAAATAAAGCGGATAATTACGAATGAAAACGTCGTAAAAGTTCAATATCACCAACGGAACATTTATATTGAAAATACAATTGCCAAAAGCTGACGCCGTGATGACGATGATGATGTGAAGCAGGCCTCTTATGTGAAACAGGACTCTTATCAACCTCAGGAATTCTAAACACCCCTTTTTACGACCGATAATATTCTGTATACAAACCCCCGAATGCCTCAATAAACTCTCAGTGTTAGTCCTCAATCCGATCAATATTCACGTTATTATACCTTCAGACCGTCTCGCTGCATAATTAACGACAAGTACATTACGCACATCTTAGGAATATAAGGATCAAGTCCGAGGACGCCTTATACCCTTAACCCTTTCGCTACGGGCGGATTTTCCGCCGCGGTACTTCCGCTGAACGGAGCGCCGCGACATCACTGCACGCTACGCGACGCCGATCGTCAGCGGGAGTACCGCGGCGGAGAACCCAAGCTGCTTGAATGTTTTCGTACGAAAAAATTTCTCTCCAAAGGGTATTTATAAATAAAGGGAGATGTGTATAAGAGACAGCCTTATACCCTTAACCCTTTCGCTACGGGCGGGTTCTCCGCCGCGGTACTTCCGCTGAACGGAGCGCCGCGACATCACTGCACGCTACGCGACGCCGATCGTCAGCGGGAGTACCGCGGCGGAGAACCCAAGCTGCTTGAATGTTTTCGTACGAAAAAATTTCTCTCCAAAGGGTATTTATAAATAAAGGGAGATGTGTATAAGAGACAGCCTTATACCCTTAACCCTTTCGCTACGGGCGGGTTCTCCGCCGCGGTACTTCCGCTGAACGGAGCGCCGCGACATCACTGCACGCTACGCGACGCCGATCGTCAGCGGGAGTACCGCGGCGGAGAACCCAAGCTGCTTGAATGTTTTCGTACGAAAAAATTTCTCTCCAAAGGGTATTTATAAATAAAGGGAGATGTGTATAAGAGACAGCCTTATACCCTTAACCCTTTCGCTACGGGCGGGTTCTCCGCCGCGGTACTTCCGCTGAACGGAGCGCCGCGACATCACTGCACGCTACGCGACGCCGATCGTCAGCGGGAGTACCGCGGCGGAGAACCCAAGCTGCTTGAATGTTTTCGTACGAAAAAATTTCTCTCCAAAGGGTATTTATAAATAAAGGGAGATGTGTATAAGAGACAGCCTTATACCCTTAACCCTTTCGCTACGGGCGGGTTCTCCGCCGCGGTACTTCCGCTGAACGGAGCGCCGCGACATCACTGCACGCTACGCGACGCCGATCGTCAGCGGGAGTACCGCGGCGGAGAACCCAAGCTGCTTGAATGTTTTCGTACGAAAAAATTTCTCTCCAAAGGGTATTTATAAATAAAGGGAGATGTGTATAAGAGACAGCCTTATACCCTTAACCCTTTCGCTACGGGCGGGTTCTCCGCCGCGGTACTTCCGCTGAACGGAGCGCCGCGACATCACTGCACGCTACGCGACGCCGATCGTCAGCGGGAGTACCGCGGCGGAGAACCCAAGCTGCTTGAATGTTTTCGTACGAAAAAATTTCTCTCCAAAGGGTATTTATAAATAAAGGGAGATGTGTATAAGAGACAGCCTTATACCCTTAACCCTTTCGCTACGGGCGGGTTCTCCGCCGCGGTACTTCCGCTGAACGGAGCGCCGCGACATCACTGCACGCTACGCGACGCCGATCGTCAGCGGGAGTACCGCGGCGGAGAACCCAAGCTGCTTGAATGTTTTCGTACGAAAAAATTTCTCTCCAAAGGGTATTTATAAATAAAGGGAGATGTGTATAAGAGACAGCCTTATACCCTTAACCCTTTCGCTACGGGCGGGTTCTCCGCCGCGGTACTTCCGCTGAACGGAGCGCCGCGACATCACTGCACGCTACGCGACGCCGATCGTCAGCGGGAGTACCGCGGCGGAGAACCCAAGCTGCTTGAATGTTTTCGTACGAAAAAATTTCTCTCCAAAGGGTATTTATAAATAAAGGGAGATGTGTATAAGAGACAGCCTTATACCCTTAACCCTTTCGCTACGGGCGGGTTCTCCGCCGCGGTACTTCCGCTGAACGGAGCGCCGCGACATCACTGCACGCTACGCGACGCCGATCGTCAGCGGGAGTACCGCGGCGGAGAACCCAAGCTGCTTGAATGTTTTCGTACGAAAAAATTTCTCTCCAAAGGGTATTTATAAATAAAGGGAGATGTGTATAAGAGACAGCCTTATACCCTTAACCCTTTCGCTACGGGCGGGTTCTCCGCCGCGGTACTTCCGCTGAACGGAGCGCCGCGACATCACTGCACGCTACGCGACGCCGATCGTCAGCGGGAGTACCGCGGCGGAGAACCCAAGCTGCTTGAATGTTTTCGTACGAAAAAATTTCTCTCCAAAGGGTATTTATAAATAAAGGGAGATGTGTATAAGAGACAGCCTTATACCCTTAACCCTTTCGCTACGGGCGGGTTCTCCGCCGCGGTACTCCCGCTGACGATCGGCGTCGCGTAGCGTGCAGTGATGTCGCGGCGCTCCGTTCAGCGGAAGTACCGCGGTGGAGAACCCGCCCGTAGCGAAAGGGTTAAAGCAACTTTAACGAAGTTTTACTGTCAAGTTCCACAGTGGTAGAAATTTCAATAATTTTATTTTAAATAGATTAAGTCTGTAGACTTTGTTGATTGCAATGTAGTAACTTTTTTAGCAGTGCAGTTACACGAACTATTTGCAGTACACGAATCTTTTTGTCGAGCTCGCGATATTCAGGAAAAATTGTAAAATCTTCGAGGAAACTGGAGCATCAACAATATTGCGTACAATTAAAATATTGGATAAAGTAATGAACATGCTTTACTTCCCTTGTGACAAATAAACTTTTAATTTAAATGTTAATTAATGATCATAGTCGTTTCTGTTGAAAAAGTAACTTCAGCCTCGGACAAAAATTAATCTATGTTTTATTTATGACTGAGGTTCGAAAATATCAAATTACATTTCTGTCGGTTTCTTGGGCGCGCACCGGCGGTAATATATAATATATATTATAATAATAATTATATATATATATATTATAATAATAATTATATATATATATATTATAATAATAATTATATATATATATAATATAATATTTTATAAATGCCGCGATACATTATCGCCGGTGTCGTGTATGTAAATGTAATATGCAAAATGCGATGAATGATCGTCTTTGATTGGTGGAGAAGACCACACCAAAAAGGGTGTCGCCGTACCTTAGTTGAATTTGGTCGCTCAGTCATTCGTACATATGTATACCTTCTCTCAAATAAAAGTAAAAATAAAAGTTTTAAGTAAAAGAATTTATATCATATTCATTTGAGAAATAATCCAAGCCATAATCCCAATAGTCTCTAATGCTATCAAAAGATATACTGTTACATTTAACAGATTCTTCTAAATCGTTTCGCCTAAGAAAGATCCAAATACAGGTCTTTTACAGGTAAACCAGAAGAAATTCTAAAGTATAAAGGTATCCGAAGCCAGACAATGCTACGTATTTTTTCCGAATTAAATTCACCAAAAATCGAGGAAAATTTTCGAACAA